GAAGAAAGTTGAAGAGTCATCAGATTCTGTTCCGACATCTTCAAGTGAAACACAGCTCACCTCTGACTCAAATGAGATAAATGAGGAAAGCCATGTGAGAACAGTCTGTCACCGTTTACAGTTAGTTTACAAATGTTGCTACTGAAGTCAGAGATGGTCAAAATGTTAACCTCATTTCTGATTTGGTGTTTTCAGACAACTGAAGTCAAACTGGTGTGTCATGCTGAACTTCATATCTCAGTGGATCAGTTCCCAGAGAGATTTTTCAAATCTYGTGTCATCTACTTCATCAGAAACACCAAGGGTGAGGTGACTGTATGCTTAAACCTATTTTAACATTTCACACATCACATTCATTGAAAACTTCTCATTTGTGCTTTGAGCAGAGACTGTTGTTCAGCCACTGGACATGAAGGAGGCCAGCATCATAATGCCTAGGTTGTTTAACTTTGGCATGCAGTCTGGAAACCCCTTGCTGGCACTACAAAACAAACTAGTCAATGTAAGAAAACAAAATCAAACCAACACCACCTGTCTTTAACAGTGCTAGAACAGTTGTAAAYATCTTGTATGTGTGTATGAATGTATAATGTAAATATTTTCACTTWATCTCTTGTCAGATCTATATACCCATGTTCACTGCCCAGAAAATGACAGCGACAGGAGAAAGTAGTCAACACAAGCAGAACTGTCCTCAGGAAAAGATCAGTAGAGGCAGTAAAAAGAAAAAGGGTAAACTGAAAAAACAAGGTGAGCAGCTCATGATGTGTGATGAGTTGCTCAACAGGACGCACAAATTTTTGGGAGTGGTCAACTCAACTCTTCAGCAGCTTCAAATTGAAGGTTTGTTTTATTTCAGCATAACAAAGGAGGGTCAACTATGAACTAGGAATTTATCACTGATCGAAGTTTCAAAGCACAGAGAAGAATGTATTCCAACTTGTAGTTGTATTCCCTTCCAGAATTCATTTTAGTTTTAAGCACATTTGTGTTGTGAGATGTTTAGTATGCTTTGGGATTTGTAAACCGTAAAAAGATCCAACCTGTGATATCCAAGCCTGCTTCATAAGAAGGATTTTAGTTTTGATTTAGTGTCTGTGCCGCAGGTGAGACTGTACTCCAAATTCCTGATCTGGACTTGAAGCAGGAGGTGAACATGCTGCTTGATAACCATGAGGTGTTGGAGAAGTTGGAGCAGTGTGTGATGAACTGGCAGACTCAGATTACCATTGTTATTGAGGAACAGCAAGGCAAAAAGCCACAGGTTTGTATCAATTCCTACTAGGTTTTGTTTTAAGCTTAGAAAAAATAAACTAAAAGCATTCTGAGTGTACTTCAGCCAAGACCTTAAGGTCACTCACATTGGTGATCCAGATCAACACCAAAATTTAATCGTGTTCTTTATGACAACCTCAAGAAGGAATCCAGTGACCAATCTTAAACACTCTCTTCTTRTTACCCTCCAGGCACCTGGGCCAATGGCAGAGATAGAACTCTGGCAAGGGCGTGCTTCTGCTCTCAGTGGCCTGTGTCAGCAGCTCGAACAGCCTGCAGTCAAGAAGATCATGGAAATACTGACCAAATCAGATTCAGGCATTGTTCACACCCTGAATGAAACTATTGATGAATTATCAAAATACCATTTAGAGTCAGRTCAAATTACCTGTATCCTTAAGACACTGGAAAGACACTTTATGGTAAGCAACCTCTAAAAACATTTTTTKTTGTTGAATATTCTGTACACAGACTGGCTCTTTTTTTCTGAATAAATTTAGAGCAGTGTTATAGTACTCAAGACCTGTCTCGAGACCACTTTTTGGTGGTCCTGGACTCGTCTCAGACTTGACCGCATTCGTACTTAGTCTTGTCTCGGACATTGAGGACTTAGGATTTCATTTAGGGTGGCACGGTGGCTCAGGTGGTAGAGCTGACGCCACTCAGCAAGAAGGTTGCCAGTTCAAATCCCGGCCYGGGGACCTTTCTGGGTAGAGTTTGCATGTTTTCTCCATGCATGTGTGGGTTCTCTCTTCCTCCCACAGACCAAAAACATGACTGTTGGGTTAATTGATAACTCTAAATTGTCCCTAGGTGTGAGCGAGAGAGTGAATGGTTGTTTGTCTCGTTTTTCTCTATTTGTGGTCCTGAGATGGACTTGCGACCTGTCCAGGGTGTACCCAGCCTCTCGCACTGTGACTGCTGGATATGGGCACCAGTGACCCATGCGACCCTGAAAGGATTTAGCGTGTACAGAAAATGGACGGATGGATTTTATTTAAAGACAAGAACTGCCATAAAAGTGTCCAATTTATTTGTTAACATCCTTGCTTTTACTGGATGTAAAATGTATTTATTCTAATCCAATTGTGACTTATTGATATTATATATTTTTGTTAGCGCTGTCACCCATCCCCAGCACCTTTTTCACTCGCACTCGGCAATCCGAGAAAATGAGCAGTGGTTGTCTGGGAGCGGGAGAAGATGTCTGCAAAGTCTTCAGCAATACAATTTGGCTACATAAATAATAAAGAATGTATTTTTAAAACGACATCCAGAAGAAAGCATAYAGTGACTTGAAAATTCTGCAGGTCTTTGCTATCATAGACAGTGGAGACTACGTCAAACGTTAATTGTCACTTAAAAAGGAAGCACAAAGAAAGATAAGCTATGTGTRCGTGATGTTAACAAAGCTAACGAGCTAACGTTAGTAATATGCCACTGTACCAAAATTCCTTTACCGACCCGTTAGCTACCCATATACAACATATTGTATGTTTTAGGGCACTAGTTGCCATTTTTTTTCCGGTCTTGGACTTGACTCGGTCTCACCTTCCCTTGGTCTAGGTCTCGACTTTGCCTTGGTGGTCTTGACTACAGTGCTAACTTGGAGTCTACTTTTTTTTTTTTTTTTTTTTTTTTGTGTGTGTGCGTGTGTGTGTGTGTAGAACCTGGCTACTGGTGCAGATTTTGCCATCATGCTTGACACCATCCCTGAAATGATGGAGACCTTACAGATTGTGTACACAATGTCTTACCGCTACTACTCAAATGAGCGTGTGGGGCCCCTAATGGAGCGTATTGCCTGGCAGCTGTGTGAGCGAGTGGCTCAAGGAATTGATGTCCACAGTCTATTCAGGTATTCAAGTATAAAATGCATACAATTTAAATAAAAAAATGTTTGTGTGATTTTAATATTAGTCAGTGGTTTATTAAGGCTATGAATTATKATTTAAGTTAAATACAAAATATTGTGCCTTGGACAGAGAAAAAAGARAAGAGGCCAAATCRTTGGTGCTCGAGGCTAAGCGGGTTCTGGAGACGTGGAAGTTGACCTATTTTGACATGAGTGCAGAAATTGAAAAATTAGGCTCAGTTCCTCACTGGGACTTTGATGGTAAAAGACTGTTTGAGAGGAGCGATTACATGGCTTCTGTCTGCCAGGACCTGTGCAACATGTTTCAGGTCAGTGTACTTTCTGGAACATTCACTSACAAATTCCTGACCACTCACTCACTCACAATAATCAACCCTATAAATGTGTCGAATTTGAAAGCGGTCTCCTGGGTTTGTGCTTTTCAGCTCYTGGAGGAATTCAACAACGTTTTAGGCCTTGAGCATATAGATAGAAAAGAAATGGCAAACAAACTGGAGGGTCTGGTTTTACCCATTCAGGAGGTCAGTTTTAATCCTTTCAGCATCTCTAGAAAGAGCAACTGGAAAATTATCATCCAAGAGTTTGGCACAAATAAGAAGGTTGGTTAGGAATCTTTTATCAGTTCACATGCATGTCCTATATGTTTGCTTAGCTGATTCATTTTTCACATGTTTGCACAGGTCGTTGAGGGAGAGATCATCAAACTGATCGACCTGTCTTTTAACACACTGCCCTCCTCRGCTGCTACCCTTGAGATGCTACAGAATTTGAAACAAATCCATTCTACAGAGGCCATCAACAACTGTTTGATTAGAAAGTTTAATGATGTCCTGACCCAGAAGTGCAAAGAGGTACCGGTACTCTGTTTTATTATAATCTAGAAGAAGAGCTGGTTGCCATAAGCCATGTTAAAAATGTTGAAACTAAGTAACATTCATGAAAGTTTTTAACATGACTTGTAATTTCAATCCAGTTAACAAATGTAATTACAATACTATAATTAAGGYGGCACAGGGAGCTCAGCTGGTAGAGCTGTTGCCTCCCAGCAAGAAGGTTGCCAGATCAAATCCCGTTCAAGGACCTTTCTGGAGTTTGCATGTTCACTCCGTGCATGTGTGGGTTTTCTCTGAGCACTCTGGTTTCCTCCCACAGACCAAAAACATGAGTGTTAGTCTAATTGTTAACTCTAAATTGTCCCTAGGTGTGTGTGTGTGTCTATGAATGGTTGTCTGTCTTGTTTGTCTCTATGTGGCCCTGTGATAGACCTGTCCAGGGTGTATCCCAACCCCCCCACAGTGACTGCTAAATTTGTGCATCCCCATGACCCTGAAAGGAAGAAGCAGGTTGGATGCATGGTTGGATAGATGGATATTATAACTAAACAAAAAAACTCTTCAGGTTTTATTTATTAATGTACAACAAAACAAATACACATTTTTGGTTCATTAATTCTAAAGTTTTACTACTGTATTTTAAGGGTTTTATAATACTGTGAAGTAAGTAAAAGTCAAGATTTCCTGTAACAGGTTGACAGCATTAAGGAAATCTTTGAAACACAGAAGGACAATCCACCTTTGAATAGGAATGAGCCTCCTGTGGCCGGATCTATCAGGTGGGCCCAGACTCTTTTCTGCCACATGAACCAAACCATTCTTCCCTTCCTGAAAATGGCAGAGGAACAAAACAAAATGGTGAGTTATTTTATTGAAGTTAAAACTGTTTAAATGACAAAATAAGGGTAGAAGCATTTTCTAACTTTTATTATTTTCTGCTCAGGCAAATGAGAAGTACCGGTATGTGGAAATTGCAGTGCAGATTCAGAATTATCAGGCAAAGAAGCATGAGTGCTGGATGGATGGATTAGAAAAGACYCTCTCAGTACTAATGAAAAAGCCTCTGTTAATTATTAAAGCAAACAAGGAAATGGTAATATTTTCTGAAATTTGTTACAACTACTGTTATCTAAATATACACTCACTGTTGAGTCTATTAGGTACAGTTTTTCAATTACTTGTTAACGCAAACAGCTAATCAGCCTTTATGGCAGCAACTCAGTGTCTTTAAAKCATGGTGAGGTGAAGTTCAAAACGAGCAACAGAATGGAAATTAAAAAAAGAGAATTTAAATGAATTTGAAATGGGTGGGTTGTTGGTATCAGATGAGTTGGTCTGATTATTTCAGAAACTGCTGATCTACTGGTGATTTAGACCATTCTCTTTAAACCCTGGAGATGGTTGTGTGTAAAAATCCCAATAGACATACATGTCTAGCACATGCAACCACAGCACATCTTAAAACTTTTTTCCTTCCTCATTCTGATGTCTGGTTTGCACTTCAGCAAGTCTCATCATGTCTACATGCCTAAAGACACTGAGTTGCCACCCTCTGACTGGCTAATTAGCTGTTTGAGTTATTAATCAATGGAAWAGGTGGACTTAATAAAGGGACTGTTTAATTTACATGAAATAAAGTTCTGTCTATATATAAAAATATAAAAAATTGCAAAAATAAGTCAACATTTTCATTTTTGTAATTTCAAGGATGTGCCAAAACCTGAAAGAAGCGATACAAACATTGTGCGATACATTGTTAACTTTGCTCCAGAAATCAAGGAAATAATTTCTGAAACAAAATATCTTGAGTTACTGAATTACTCTGTTCCTCAACGAGCCCAATATGTRACCCTACAAGAGGAAGAACTCCTCAGGTGAATACATTCATTAAAGAACATGTGCCATATGTTGAAACCATTCTCTTTGTCTCTTTCGTTACCTTTGTCATCTGTGGTTTCAGGTATGTTGATGAGCTGAATATGCTTGTCAGCAGATATCACTCTGTGCTGGACAGCTTGAGYGAGCTGCATCTCAGTCTGCTGGTACCAGAAATAAAAAGAGTCGAAAACGAGATGTACTTGGGACACAAAATACTCACTTGGAGTCTCCCAGGTACAGTATACATAGTTTAAAATGTCTGTGGAATTTTTCTGCAATGCAAATGCTCTAAATTATGCTAGTAAATTAAAACTTATTACTGGTTTTAGGGATACCTGACTTCATCAGTCGAGGTGTCAATGCTGTCTCTCAATTTGAGTCTGTGGTCAGTCAGATTTACAAAAACGAGAAGGAAATCRATTTCAAGTTGGAGTCAATATTGATGGCTAATCTACTGAAATGTCCAGTACCAGATAATTCAAGTGACTTACCAGGTAGAACTAATAGAAGGATCTATTAATGATTGTGTGTGTGGCAATAATAAATCATTATCATTATTTTTTTAAAGGTGTCAAGACTTTTTGTTCACTTATTGAGGAAGTGCRAGCCAAGACTTTGCATTTGCTCAGGAAAACATATTCTGACATAAGTTTCTTGATCACAAAGACGGAAGATTTGATAATGAAAACCAGTAGCGGTAAAGCCAAATGCATGGCCCCATACTACACCTACTGGGAAGGCAAAGTGTTTGATTCCCTTCTAAARATGGTACAGAGGTAATCAAATGATCTTTCACAATTTGCAGTTGAGTATTTCTGAGATTTACCAACCAATTTCTGAACCATTGTTCCATATTTTTTGCTGGCACTTTAAGGAGCATTCAGGCTTTCAACATGGCACTGATGGGAAGTACTGCTCTCTTCCAAATTGACGCCTTTCTGTCTGCCCCAAAGATTGTGTTACAGCCCCYCAAACAAGAGCTCTACCGGCTGCTCATGCAGTGTGTTAAAGACTGCATAGAGAGTACCAAGGTAAGGCTATCACTATTACTATTGTTGTGACATTGTTTTAAGCATTTGAATCTAGCACATAATAAGTTGATCACTAACATACAGTGTTTTTGTGTTAAGCAATTTCCACGTTGGATGCATGGGACCTGCATTGAATGCCCCCCTCAGAAAGTGGCCGGTGAAGATGAGATGGTGACGTTCACTTTCTTTAGTGATGTATGGCAGCATCCTCAGATACATGAAAGCGCGTTGACAGCATCCAAAAACATCCAACAACTGCTCCTCTCCTTGGACCAATACCTTCTCCTCTGGATGTGCTATCGGTCCCTTTGGGAGCAGAATGAAACCATTGTCAATGAAAGATTTGCAGCAAAGAAGCCATCCTTTGCCRCGTATGACGATAAGCTACACTTCCTTGCTGATGTCAAAGAGCAGGTGATGCAGGAGCCTCTGAGCAAGACTGAGCGCTCAATCCATCTGAACATGGAGCCGCTGGTTACCACAGTACAAGAAATTGCAGACTCCTGGATCAGATCACTTGGTAGCATGCTCCACAAGTCTGCCAAAGAAGATCTCTTCAACTTGAGAGATGAGCTCATGGTACYGAGTCATGCAATCATTTCCATAAAAATGTGTTGGGCTTTTTTTAAAATTTACATTAATCTTACAAAACAGAAACTTTCGAAGACACTGAAGCAGAACCTGGACACTATGGAGGACCTAAAATTTGTCCTYGGTACTATCATAGACCTCAAGAACATGTCTGTAGAGGTGGAATTAAGATTCACCGACATCCAGGAACGATACAGAACCCTGTCCATTTACAAACTGGAGGTAGTGTGTTAAATGTTCAGTTGTTACTCAAAAAATGAAATTATTTTGGTTAACTTRGTGTTCTTTATATGCTGCAGGTTGGAGAGGATGAAAAGGAGCTGGTGGCCATTATTGGACAGATGTGGAGTGACCTGTTTGCAGAATCTAGAAAAGTTGATCGCAGCTTGAAAGATGTAAAGAAATCATTTACCGTGGTAGGACATGAAAGCTTCTTCACATATGTATAAAAGAAGATTCAGAAAGGCACCTTTACATACCACACACCTTYTCTTTCTTACTTTTAAAGATTGCAAAAGAGAAGACTGAAGACTTTAAGCAAAATTTGTCTATCTTTGCTGAAAGCTTCGACATTCATGGTCCTGGAGCTGTGGGTGAAGATTTGGACAAAGGTGCTTTGATCAGACCCATTTTTGCAGTATGTAATGTTCAACCTTGAAACATGAATGACTTTTTTCATTCTTTTCAGGACTAAGCATTTTGGGAAAGTATGAGACAGACCTTGCCAAGATAGTGGCAGAACAGCAGAAGCTCTCTAATGCTGAGGATCTGTTAGGCATGCCTGTCACTGTGTACCCAGAGGTYACAAGGATTCAGAAAGTCATGAGTGGCTTAAGAGAAGTTTATGACATATACAAAGCTCAGAAGGTGGGTTAGTATTTCTATCAGTGAAAAAGTGAATTTTCTTGTCAGTGTGCATTACAAACTGTTCTCATAGAGTTTGTCAGTATCACGTCTGTACTTTTTTATTTTAGAATGCAAAAGCAAATTGGTCGCAGACCTTGTGGGTAGATTTGAAGATCCAGGTGCTGCAGGAGGGTATAGAGGGTTTTATCAAAAGCCTGAAGAAGCTGCCCATCGATGTGAGGGCTTTACCCGTGGCTATTTTTCTAGATGGGAGCTTGGAAGAGTTTAGAGAATCGCTGCCTCTTCTGCTAGACCTGAAGAACAAAGCCCTCAGAGAAAGGTTAGTCTGAAGAGAAGGATGAACAGACATAGAAAACGATGTAAAAATGAATAAATTTGAATTTATTTTAACAACTGAACTTTATACAGAATAGAATATATGGATGAATCAGATGAAACAGGTTTTATTTTTATTCTAATATTTTATTTGACTTTTTTAGGCACTGGAAGGAGCTGATGGAAAGAACTGGCACCAGTTTTGAGATAAACCCTGATTGTTTCACCCTGGAGAACATGTTTTCTRTGGAGTTGCACGAATATGCAAATGTCATACGTGACATTGTCACATCAGCTGTCAAAGAGCTGAGTATTGAGAAGGCAAGCTTTCCTCTTTAATAAATAATCATTAATAATGACATCACAAATAGAGTCAAGTTTAATTGTACGAGTTTAGCATTCAAATTACACAATATTTACACGTTACAGTTAATATTAGCATGTTAACTGTTTATGCACTTTGTATGTGTGTGATTCAAGGGAGTAAAGGGGGTGGCAGAAACTTGGGAGACCATGAAATTCAACGTGCAGCCTTATTTTAAAGGCACCCAGAAACTTGGTTTTATCCTGGGAGCAGTGGATGAGATCCTGCTCACTCTGGACAGTGACGTTATGAACTTACAGAGCATGGCAGGCAGCCGCTTTGTTGGACCTTTTCTTGGCAACATACAAAAGTGGGAAAAAGATTTGTCTTTCATCAATGAGACCACAGAGGTCAGTGCACGCTTTTACCTTTATTATTAAGTTAAATTCTCAAAACTGTGTACTGACAAAATGGCCTTTGTGCAGATTTGGTTGGCGGTTCAGCGAAAGTGGATGTACATGGAAAACATATTCACTGGTGGAGACATTCGCTCTCAGTTACCCGAAGAAGCTAAGAAGTTTGACAACATTGATAAGATGTTTAAAGAAGTGAGTTGTCCCATTTCAGTACAAGTGCAAATATGTATTTTTTGTTAGCACTTTTCAAAATGTTATCTTTTYGTAGATAATGAACGACACTGTAAGAGATCCAAATATCAAGCGAAACTGCCTGGCTCCTAACCGGCTAGCAAACCTGCAGGCCTTGAGTAATGGTTTGGAGAGTTGCCAGAAAAGTCTTAATRACTACCTGGACTCCAAACGAAATGYATTCCCACGCTTTTTCTTTATCTCTGATGATGAACTGCTCAGTATTCTGGGGAGCAGTGACCCTGCCTGTGTCCAGGAACACATGATTAAGGTATCAGACTTTGCTTATATTGAAAATTTTGTCTGTAAAATACTTTGCCAGATGTTTTATTGTTTGTTTTTTGCACTAGATGTATGACAACATAGCATCTCTAAGGTTTGATGTGGAAAACAATGGAGAGACAGTAGTTGGAGCTATGGTGTCTGCTGAAGGTGAGGTGATGGAGTTCAGAAACCCTGTCTCTGTGGAAGGAAGAGTGGAAGAGTGGATGTTGAAGGTACTAGAGGAGATGAGAGGGACTAATTGGTTTAATACAAAGGAGGCAATCTTCTACTACTATAAAGAGAAGAGTAGGTATGTATCAACACAGGGAGCGGTCTATAGATTTGCAGATATCTGTGTGCAAACAGACCACAGTAAATCTGTCCTTTCTATGCTTTTCAGGGTCGACTGGATGCTGTTATATCAGGGTATGACAGTGCTGGCTGCAGTTCAAGTGTGGTGGACCTTGGAGGTGGAAAATGTCTTCAAGAAGGTGAGGAAAGGAGAAAAAAATGCRCTGAAGAACTACGCTAAGAAGATGCATCGCCAGATTGACGAGCTAGTGACGCGCATAACTCAACCTCTGGAGGAAAACGACAGGCGGAAAATAAACACGGTGCTTATCATTGATGTCCATGCGAGAGACATTGTGGACAACCTTGTGAACAACAGGTGAATTTACTCATTACACATATTCATTTTAATCTTTAGGATTGAAAATTGTGTTTAATACAATGGACCTTTCAATGTTTCCCCAGTATAATGGATGCACAAGAATTTGAGTGGGAGAGCCAACTAAGATTCTACTGGGTGCGAGATTATGACAACCTGTTTGTGCGGCAGTGCAGTGCTTCATTCTCTTACGGTTATGAATACATGGGACTTAATGGTCGATTGGTTATAACCCCACTAACAGACCGAATCTACCTGACCCTTACACAGGTTAAAGAGTCTGTGCAATACCTAAACAGAAACTTATAAACTGGTACGTTAGTTTGTTTTATATGTTTGAATTTGTTCAACAGGCACTTTCCATGTACTTGGGTGGCGCTCCTGCTGGACCGGCTGGTACAGGGAAGACGGAGTCCATCAAAGACCTGGCTAAGGCTTTAGGTCTGCTGTGTGTGGTYACAAATTGTGGTGAGGGCTTGGACAGCAAGGTAAAAGGCAAACAATAAGAAMTATATTTTTTATGTTTTCTTGATAAAAAAAATAACATTGTCATTTCTCAATAGCTTTTTTATTATTATTATTCATTCCTGTTTGTTCAGGCTGTTGGAAAGATCTTCTCTGGCCTTGCCCAATGCGGAGCTTGGGGCTGCTTTGATGAGTTCAATCGTATAGATTCTGCAGTGTTATCAGTTATTTCTTCTCAAATGCAGACCATTCGCAATGCTCTCATTTTACACTGTAAATGTTTTCAGGTAAATCTATTGTAAAATAGTGAACGTATAATACAAAATGAATACTTTTAAAGGTAATTATTTTGTGTCATCAAGGGAATATTCCTTAGCACAGGTCATTTTAATCCATATTAAAATGCACCTAAGAGTTTTTGTTTGACAACTTCTTACTCATATTATGTCAAGTTTGAAGGGCAAGAGATCAACCTGGATAACCGCATGGGGATTTTCATCACTATGAATCCCGGTTATGCTGGACGTACAGAGCTTCCAGAATCAGTCAAAGCCCTCTTCAGGCCTGTGGTGATGATTGTACCCGACCTTGAACAAATTTGTGAGATTATGCTCTTTTCAGAAGGCTTCCTAATGACTAAGGTAACACATGCTAGCAAAAAATGTCATGCTTTAATTATGACCATATTATGACTTTGTAACGGGATGTTCTTCCATTTTGCTAGTAATTCATCATGTTTTATTTTTCAACTAATATTTATTTTAGGTGCTGGCCAAGAAGATGACAGTACTTTACAAGCTGGCTCGTGAGCAGCTGTCTAAGCAATTCCACTATGACTTTGGCCTGCGTGCTCTAAAATCTGTTCTGGTGATGGCAGGAGGGTTAAAGAGAGGTTCTCCAGACCTTAATGAGGTAGTGACAATCTTAGAAGATTTACTTCTGTTGAAAATGTCAGGAATGTTGTATATATAATGTGCACTGCAACATTTAGATGCTTTGGAGAAGACACTGATTTGGACTGAAATAGTATTTTGATGTTGTATTATACTATAACTTTTCCTGCTATCCAAGATTTTCTATCTTAACCAGAACTCTCCCAATTCTGCATTTCTTTCCTTGATGTCATCTCTTTTAACAGGATGTGGTGTTGATGCGTGCACTCAGAGACATGAATCTTCCAAAGTTGGTGTTTGAGGATGTCCCTTTGTTCCTTGGACTGATCTCAGACCTCTTTCCTGGATTGGACTGCCCTCGCGTTCGGTATCCGGACTTCAGTGACGCTGTRAAAGAGATACTGCAAAAAAACCAATATATTCTCCTGTCTGATCAGGTATTCCAACTGGGCCGTAACGTTCATCTGTTAGAGTCTTTCTTGGACARTTTATTAACTAGTGAAAAATATACTCCAAGAACTTGAGTCCTGATATTGATTTCCCCTGTTTGAATGCTGTCTGTGGCAGGTGGATAAAGTTGTACAGCTGTATGAGACAATGATGACCAGGCACACCACTATGATTGTGGGCCCAACAAGTGGAGGGAAATCAGTTGTGATCAGCACACTATGTCAAGCTCAGACCAAGTCAGTGCCAGTTTACTTTAGTCGTTCTCCTGCCACTTTGTCTTAAAAAGGCAAATTAGTGATGTTCTTTTGTTCTCCTTACCAGAATGGGGTTGCATACTAAGTTATATCCTCTGAATGCTAAAGCCATGAGTGTCATTGAACTGTATGGAGTACTTGATCCAGATACTCGTGACTGGACTGATGGAATTTTTTCCAACATCTTCCGCAATATCAACAAACATACTGACAAAAAAGAGCGGAGGTAAAAAAGAATATAAAAGAAACATTGCATGTGTACAACTTGAGAAAAAACCTTGAAGTAATTCATAAAGACATAAATTTGTAACTTGCAGGTATATCCTGTTTGATGGGGATGTAGACGCCCTCTGGGTAGAGAATATGAACTCTGTAATGGATGACAACAAGCTTCTCACTCTAGCCAACGGCGAACGGATCCGTTTGCAGAGTCACTGTGCTCTGCTGTTTGAGGTTTGTCTGAAAGTGGCTTTGAGAAGAATGTATTTTCTTACACATTCCTGCAAAACAACTCTCAGCTGAGCCCTAAAACTTCACTGTCACAGGTTGGAGATCTGCAGCACGCTTCACCTGCTACTGTGTCCCGCTGTGGGATGGTTTTTGTTGACCCCAAAAACTTGCGATATACCCCGTACTGGCAAAGATGGGTGAAGAACAGACCTGASCAGGTTATAGAAATGGCTTCATTTAGTCATTTTCAGCATTTACCAAAGGAAATTCATTTACATATGTGTGTATGTGTGTGTTTATAGCAGCAAGAAGTGCTTCAGAGGCTATTTGAGAAATATGTACCTGGATGTATTGACATGATTGTAGATGGTATCGTTGATGGCAAACAAGTTCAGAAACTGGAGACAATTGTCCCACAGACTGATCTGAATATGGTAGGATAATCTCATCCGTTTCAAATTTGTCACAATGCCTAAATTGATGTTCTAAGGATGAACTCATAAAACGATTTCCTTGAATTAAATGTGTGTCTTGATAATGAATTCAGGTCACTCAGTTGGGCTTGACACTGGAAGCACTGCTTGAGGGAGACAGCAGCCATGCTGATGTCCTGGAATGTTACTTCCTGGAAGCATTGTACTGCTCACTTGGAGCCACGCTGTTAGAGAGTGCTCGGATCAAGTTCGATGAGTTCGTCAAAAGGCTTTCCTGCCTAAACACAGAGCATGATGAAAAAGTCCTTGTTGGGCCTGGTGAGATTCCAGGTATAAAGGAAACATTTGTTCATAAGTTCATGCATTTTAATGTTTGTTTTGGTTAAATAAGATTATGATAAGACAGGAAAAAAAATGTGAATGAATGCTTTATAACACTGTTCTTTAAGAGAATGACTGTAACTGTGTTTAACATGTTAATTGTGAATACTACAGGATACCTGCCAACTCTGTATGATTTCCATTTTGATGGGACACAGAATAAGTGGGTTCCTTGGAGTTCTCTTGTTGCTAAATACACTCACAGCCCAGCAGTAAAGTTTGCTGATATCCTAGGTAACAATTAATTCTGTGAGCTGTTCAACAGGAACAAATTAAATGCAAATATATTTAAAAAATAAAACTTTTAAAGAAGTACCGGTACATAAGCTTTTGAAGTGAATTATTTCATGTTTTATGTTTCAGTGCCAACTGTTGACACTACAAGGACCAGCTGGCTTTTGGAGCAGATGATCAAGATACGAAGGCCAGTATTGCTGGTTGGAGATTCTGGCACTTCTAAGACTGCCACAATTCACAACTTCCTGAAGAATGTTGACACTGAAACAGGAGTAATTTCAACATCTAAACTTGCATATGTGCATTTTTACTTGAATATAAATGTGCTTTTCTTTAGATTTCTCTGTTTTATTTATTGATTTATTTTTATTTTTATTTTATTTCATTATAGTCTACTTTGATCATTAACTTCTCATCCCGAACAACTTCATTAGACCTACAGAGAAACCTGGAGTCTAATGTACAAAAAAGAACCAAAGATATTTATGGTCCTCCTTTGGGAAAGAGACTTTTGGTCTTTATTGATGACTTGAACATGCCAAAGGTACATTTACTTTTTTTAATTAAATCATTTATTTTGTAATTTGTTTGTGGTAGTGGTTATAATTAAAAAAACAACATAATGCACTTTTTCAGGTAGACAATTATGGTACACAACAGCCTGTTGCACTTCTGAAGTTGCTGTTGGACCGAGGAGGCATGTATGACAGGGAAAAGGAGCTAAACTACAAAATTCTCAAAGACCTTGACTTTATTGCTGCCATGGGAAAGGCAGGAGGTGGAAGGAATGAGGTGGACCCACGTTTCATCTCACTCTTCAGTGTCTTTAACATTCCTTTTCCATCAATGGAGTCTCTCCACCTCATCTATGCTTCTATTATTAAAGGTCACACCAGAGTAAGTATCTTTGTACCCCATATAATTTCATCATTTTATGTCACTCAGATTTAATAAACATGAAATATTTTAGTTGTTTGAGGACTGCATAAAGGAAGTGTGTGATAAAGTCACCTTCTGTACATTGGAACTGTACAACATGATCATCAAAGATCTGCCACCAACCCCCTCCAAGTTCCACTACACCTTTAACCTGAGGGACCTGTCAAGAGTCTACAATGGACTGACCCACACTAAACCAGACAAGTCTGATCAATCACATTTATTCCACTGACAAATTCAAACAGTTTTTAAAATGTCTTTCACTGCTGTTCTCTTTGACAGATTTCTGACTGTCTGCCAGTTTGTGCGCGTGTGGAGAAATGAGTGCTTGAGAATCTTTCATGATAGACTCACGCACGAAAACGACAAAGCTTTGGTAAGATTTTGAAGCGCAGATAGTTGTTCCCCCAAATCAAATAATAAATATAGACCCCAAATGTTTGCCTGATACTTTTTTTAATTTTTAATTTTTTTTAACCATAACAGGTTCAGGGTCACATAAAAAACTTGCTTGAAGAACATTTTCAATCAGAAATGGAGGAAGTAATGAAAGACCCAATTCTATTTGGGGACTACATGAATACCCTCAGTGATTCTGAACCCAGAGTCTACGAATCCATCCCAGATTATGACGCTGCCAAAGCGAAATTTCAGGCAAGTTTAACAATGATGGTAGCTGAAATATTATAACCCAATTCCAATGAAGTTGAGACGTTGTGTAAAACAGATAAAACAGAATACGATGGTTTGCATATTCTTTTTGACCTATGTTCAACTGAATACACTACATAGACAAGATTTTTACTGTTCAAATGGATAAACTTTATTGCTTTTTTGCAAATATTCACTCCTTTTGAATTTGTTACTGCAACATGTTGCAAAATTACGGGGGCAGAGGCATCAAAAGACTGTGAAAGTTGAGGAATGATGAAAAAACACCTGTTGGGAGCATGCTACAGGTGAACAGGTTAATTGGAAACAGGTGAGTGTCATGACTGGGTTTAAAGGGAGAATCCCAAAAAGGCTCAGTCAATCACAAACAAGGATTGGGTGAAGTTCACCACTTTGTGAACAACTGCGTGAGAAAATAGTCAAACAGTTTAAGAACAACGTTTCCCCACATATTTGGAGAACATATTAGTGTTGTAATTAGGGTTGTAATAAGACATAACAATTGTTTACATTACAATGATTTACTGCTGTTTCTTTTTCTTTCTGCAGGAACTTCTTGAGGAGTACAATGAGACCAAGTCAAAGATGAACTTAGTGCTGTTTGATGATGCTCTGGAACATCTCACCCGACTTCACCGCATCCTTCGCATCGATCGTGGCCATGCACTGCTTGTTGGAGTGGCGGGCTCCGGCAAGCAGTCGCTCACCAAGCTTGCTGCATTCACTGCTGGCTGTGAGGTCGTAAAAACATATTGTAGCTGTGCTGAAACACAAATGATTCTTCAATGAGGTTTACTTATAAAGCTATGAGTAATGTAAAGACTGTTGACTTCAGTGACATGTTACCCTCTAGCTAACATTTATAGCTTTATAACTGCTAAATCAAAATAACGGATCAATCTTGTTTCAGATGTTTGAAATAAAACTCAGCAGAGGATATAATGAATCCAGTTTTCGAGAAGATTTGAAAGCGCTGTACCTGAAGCTTGGCATCGAAAATAAGAAGATGGTGTTCCTCTTTACCGATGCTCATGTGGCCATGGAAGGGTTTTTGGAACTAATAAACAACATGCTCACCTCAGGTTGAATTTAACTGTAATTAAAATACATTTATATCCTGAAAAGCTACAGTATTTGCACACTGATCATTATTTCTTTTGAAAGGCATAGTCCCTGCATTGTTTCCTAACGATGAGATGGAGTCTGTCCTCAATGAAGTTCGTGACGAAGCTCTTAAAGCAGGAGCAGATCCTTCCAAAGAGGGTGTTTGGCAATACTTTGTCAGCAAGTGTGCCAACAATCTACACGTTGTGTTATGCATGTCTCCAGTGGGAGACACTCTGAGGACACGCTGCAGGAACTTCCCAGGTTGAATGTGCATTCATTCTTCACCTAATATTATTATTTTCTTATTTCTTTTCTAACTGTGTGCCTTTTTTAATCTCAGGACTGATGAACAACACTGTGATAGACTGGTTCCTGCCATGGCCGCCACAGGCTTTACATGCAGTGGCTCAGTTTGTCCTTGGTGTGTCTTCACACATAGTCAAATAATTATATTTTCCTTTAATTATTTTAAAGATTTTTAAATAGAATGTTTTTTATATATAAATTTATTTATTTATTTTAACAGGTGAAAATTCAATGATTCCTGAGGCTCACTCCAATTCAGTTATTGAACATGTATGCATGGTGCATACTTGTGTGGGTGAATACAGCAAGCTATTCCTGGAAACACTCAGACGATGTAACTACGTCACTCCAAAGAACTACTTGGACTTTATTAACACCTATTCTAACCTTTTGGAGGAAAAGAACCACCTTTTCCTTAGTAAGAAGTTTGTAAATTACAAAAAACCAGTAGTAACTGGGACTGGTAGCAAATGAGTACTACTAACAATGTGTTTGTGAGGATGTCAGTAACAGTTCTTTGTATTTCTAGCTCAGTGCAGGCGTTTAGAGGGAGGTTTGGATAAACTTAAAGAAGCCAGCGAGCAGCTGGCTGAACTGAATGTCAAGCTTGAAGATCAGAAGGTTGTCTTAGCTAAAAATTCCACAGATTGTGAAGCACTGCTGGAAGACATTGCTGCAAACACAAGCGTGGGTCAGTGAGTGCCTGCATCTTTTACTAAAGTATTATGTAACATGTGGTCCTTAAATACTAATCATCAATAACTTGTTTTTTTAGCCAAGGAGAAAAAGGCTCTTTCAGAAACTAAAGCTACAGAGATTGAAAAGCAGAATGAAGTCATTGCTGTTGAAAAGAAAGATGCTGAAAGTTTGCTGGCTGAAGCTCTCCCGGAATTGGACGCTGCCCGCTTAGCCCTGCAAGACTTAGACAAACGTGATGTCACTGAGATCCGGTAAATTCTTAACTTTTTATTTAGTTTTTTAGGTTATTAGGAAAAAATTACTTTACAAATTGGTACTGACCAATCAGGGATTTTAACACTTGTCAGTAATAAAAACTGATTTCATTTTCATGACAAAACAAATTAAACCGAATTGTATTTATTTATATTTTGCTTGTTTGTTTAGATTTTGATTTATTTTGATTCATAATACAGGTCTTTTCCTAAGCCGCCCCAACAGGTGCAAAAGGTTTGTGAGTGTATTTTGGTGCTGCGTGGCTCCCATGAAATCAACTGGCAGTCAGCCAAGGGGATGATGTCTGAGCCCAACTTTTTACACTCCTTAATGGTCATGGACTGTGATTCCATCAGTAACACTCAGATCAAAACTGTCAAAGGTAATTTGAATTCATGATTAGTGGAAAACCACATTTAGAATTGTAAATTGTAAAAATGTCCACGTCCTGGATAAAAATATCTAGTCCAAATACCATGGACTGTATTTCTGTAATGACATAACATATTATTCATTTATTTATCTTATTTGGTTTGGCTAGGCATCCTAAAGGACCTATGTTTTGAGGAAATGCGAGCCATCAGTAAAGCTGGTGCGGGAATGTTTAAATTTGTTCGGGCGATCATACGTTACTGTGATGCTACCAGGGAAATAAAACCCAAGAAAGAAAAGGTCCTTCATTTCTGCTATTTTTGTTTCACTGTCATGTATTAAATGAGAGACCAAAACAACAACAACAACCAAGAAAAAACAAAGAAACAACTGTACTGTCATTTGATTTATAGGTGGCACGTCTAGAAAAAAAATTTCTTCAATCTAAAAATGAACTACAGAACATTCAAAGTGAACTCAGCAAAATTCAGACAGAGTTGCAAAGTCTTCAATTGAAGTATGACCACGCAATCTCGGAAAAGCAGAAGCTACAGGAGGCGGCTGAGGTCATGGAGCGAAGACTGATTGCTGCTGATAAACTCATCTCTGGACTGAGCTCTGAAAATGAACGGTGAGATTATGCAACAGTTGTAAATTACCGTATTGTTGATCTTTTCCATTTTATTGTTCTAACTATGTGCTTTTTTCAATTATATTTCCCACTCTTACTAATTCAATTCAGGTGGACACAAGATTTGGATGAGCTGAGGCAGCAGCGAGTGTGTCTCCTTGGGGATTGTCTGGTCTCTGCTGCTTTTCTGAGTTATGAAGGGGCCTTCAGCTGGGACTTCAGGAATGAAATGGTCTATCAAACATGGGTCCAGGACATTATTGAGAGAGGCATCCCCTTGAGTCAGCCTTTTAAAGTGGACAACCTTCTGACTGATGAGGTAGAAATCAGCAGGTAAGAAGCATTTAAACCTTTTTGAAAGACAATATGTCACATGACAATAAACTGAAATGCAATATGAAAAATTATTTTCTATGTCCATTCAACAGGTGGGGCTCAGAAGGACTGCCTCCTGATGAGCTGTCAGTGCAGAATGGAATTCTCACAACCAGAGGAAGTCGCGTTGCCATGTGTATTGATCCTCAGCAGCAGGCACTCAACTGGATTAAAAATAAAGAAGCAGCCAATAAACTCAAGGTACAAAAAGCTCAACATTTATACAACTGATCTGATAATGAGCCCATTTTAAAGTCCCACACTCTGATCATGACATTGACTTTTTGTCCTCAGATCTCATCTTTCAATGATCCAGACTTCTTGAAACAGCTTGAGATAGCCATTAAGTATGGCAATCCATTTCTTGTCCAAGATGTGGATGAGTACATTGACCCAGTCATTGACAATGTCCTGGAAAAAAACGTCATAGGTGCAGAGGGCAGACAGGTCATCTTGCTGGGTGACAAGGAAGTGCACTATGATCCTAACTTTAAATTTTACCTTAATACCAAATTGGCTAATCCCAAATTTTCTCCATCCATTTTTGGAAAAGCTATGGTCATCAACTACAGTGGTAAGATCTGCTGCATGCCACTTTCAGTTATCTGCATCACATAAGCAGCTAAGGCCGGCGTCACATTACAAGAAAATCATGCCAATTTTTGCCCTTCCAACAATCTTAAGGAAGTCCAGATTATCATGATGGCTCTAAAGATAATCATAGCAGATATTCCCGCCGTGGGTGGTGAGTTAAGAGTGATCTAGTCGGCTGACAGTTCATGAATGAAATATCTTTGCGTGTGTTGTGTGTTGTCTCTTGCCGTGTGGCTGTACACCACACTCTGTAGGACCAAACCTGGTATATCCATGATTTTTTATCCTCACGTGTGGGCTCTCTCAGTCTTTGAAAATCGGCCGACTGTTTTAAAATCTTGTAGTGTGACTCAGCCTTAATATGAACAGGTTTGTCTGTTTTCTTAAGTCTATTTACTGTATGTCATTACAGTTACCCTTAAGGGTCTGGAAGACCAGCTCCTGAGTGTTATAATGGGCTTTGAGAAGAAAGAATTGGAGGAACAGCGTACGCATTTAATCCAAGAGACTAGTATCAATAAAAAGCTTCTGAAAAACCTTGGAGACTCCTTGCTTAGGGAGTTGGCCATGTGTACAGGCAACATGTTGGATAACACAGAACTTGTGCAAACACTGGAGGAAACAAAACTCAAAGCCAGCGAGGTCAGTTTGGCTGAAGTTTCCACAAAATACCTCTATCTTTGAAGAAAATATAATCAGGAACCTTTTGCTGTTTGATTTTGTGACAACCAGGTATTTGAGAAATTAAAGTTGGCTCAGACGACATCCGTGAATATTGATAAAATGAGAGATGGTTACCGACCTGCAGCGAAGCGAGGCGCTATCCTCTTCTTTGTGCTGACAGACATGGCTCTGGTTGACAGCATGTACCAGTACTCGCTAGAATCCTACCTGGAAGTCTTTAACTTATCACTGCAGAAACGTAGTTCTGACATTTCACTTCAACAAAGACTTAACGACTTCACGAACACTCTAACATACAATATTTATAAGTACGGCTGTACAGGTAAACTAACTGAGTTAGAATAATGGCAACATGTTCATTTTTAAAGTTGGGTATGATGGTTTTCAGATTTATACAAATCTCCCTGTTGTATGTCCTTAGGGCTGTTTGAGAAGCACAAGTTGCTTTTTTCTCTCAACATGACAATCAAAATTGAGCAGGCAGAGGGGAGGGTGCCACAGGAGGAGTTGGAGTTCTTTATCAAGGGTGACATGTCCAGAAAATTGTCTAAGAATATTGTATTGTTCACAAGCAGACAAAAAATGCTCAGAATTGTTTTGTCCTGTTTTTCAACTTCATGCATAAAGGTAATACGTCTCTGGAAAAAAGCACACGACAAAAGCCTTGTGACTGGCTTCCTGACCAGGGCTGGGAAGACGTGGTGAAACTTGCAGAGCTCTTCCCTGAACAGTTTGGCACTCTGCCTGAAGATGTTGAAAATAACATCACTGAGTGGAAATCCGTAAGTGACCACAGTGACAAAAATGAATATAAGGAGATTACTGAACCAGTGGTGTTTAACCCTTATTGTCTCATTTTGTTTATTTGTTTTTCTCAGTGGTATGACTCAGATGCGCCGGAGCAGGCTCCGTTTCCCATGAAATACAAAGAGAACTTGTCTGCCTTTCAGAAGCTACTGCTGCTGCGCTGCTTCCGGGTTGACAGAGTTTTCCGAGCTGTGACTGACTATATCAGTGTTACCATGGGCGAGAAGTAGGGACTATTTTTGTTATGGTTATGAAGCTTCACAACCTCAACCTTTCAAACTGTGTTAATAAGTTGCATGTTACTGTTGTGTAGCAGTTTGTATAGCTCAGTCACCTACAATAGCTCTAGTTCTGTCAGACATACTGTATAAGCCAGTTAAATTGACCAAACATAACTATTTGATCAAACTTCTTTGTTTTTCTGTGTAGATATGTACAGCCCCCTGTGATCAACTTTTCTGCAATTCATGAACAAAGCACACCTTTCTCTCCCATCCTTTTCATCCTGAGTCCTGGTTCAGACCCAACCAGTGACCTGATGAAACTAGCAGAGGAATCAGGCAGCAGGTTTAAGTTCCTCGCCATGGGCCAGGGGCAGGAGAAGGTACTGAACACTTTCCATGATTTGAATTTTAAGTGCAAAGAAGGGAAAGGGGAAATGATCATAGGATTTAACAAGAAATTGCCCTAATAAATAAAAATGTGTGGTAATTGTATCCTGTAACTGTCTTAAAGGTGGCCCTAGAACTGTTGGAGAGTGCAGTTTCTTGGGGTCAGTGGTTATTGCTACAAAATTGCCACCTGTTAAAGAAGTGGCTAAAAGATCTGGAAAAAGCATTAGAAAAAATCACAAATCCCAACTCTAATTTCCGTCTCTGGATCACGACCAATCCCATTCAAGATTTCCCCATTGGCATTCTGCAAAAGTCTCTAAAGGTAAAATACATTTTCTTTTATATTTTTTTTTGTGATGCAACAATAATATCAATCAAGGATAAAAAAAAAGATTGAAGATATTTACAAGAACTGATTTATTGTGTGTAGGTAGTGACAGAGCCTCCCAATGGTCTCAAGCTGAACATGAGAGCCACATACTCCAAAATTTCTGATGAGACCTTGAACACATGCCCACACTCTGCATTCAAAAGCTTGGTCTATGTGCTGGCCTTCTTCCACGGTGTGGTGCAAGAGAGGCGCAAGTATGGAAAAATTGGTTGGAATGTGCCCTACGACTTCAGCGAGTCCGACTTTTTTGTAAGAGGAGCAAATTTTTTACTTTTTGATCTGCAGAATAATAAGTTTAACTTTTCTATAGTTAAATCAATATAAATAACCATGTTTACAGGTGTGTATGGAGATTCTGAACACCTACCTGACCAAAGCTCACAACCAAGAAGATATACCCTGGAGAAGTCTTAAATATCTTATCGGAGAGGTCAGGCTACATCTAATTGGTTGTAATATTGTGTCAGAAAATGCTGTATGTTTATATGTAAAATGTTTTTTAGGTGATGTATGGTGGGCGAGCAATCGACAGCTTTGACCGAAGAATCCTGACTGTCTACATGGATGAATACCTCGGAGACTTCCTTTTTTATACTTTTCGGCAGTTCCTCTTCTTCCAGAACAAAGATGTGGATTACAAAATCCCTCCATCTGGGTCAAAGGATGTATATGTTGGTCAGTTCATGCTTTCACTACATAAAGCAAATTGTTAAAATTGTTTATTATTTTTCGCTTGGAGCTTTAACCTGAAATGTTGTAGATGAGATTGAGAAGATGCCTCTGGTGAACACACCTGAGGTGTTGGGACTTCATTCCAATGCGGAGATTGGATATTACACTCTAGCTGTTAATGAGATGTGGGCTCACCTGATAGACCTTCAGCCTCAGACAGGTATGATTTAGCACAAGGGTTTCCAATCCTGGTCCTCAAGGACCACTACCCTATATGTTTTTAAGAAAATCTCTGCTCTGACACACCTGATTTGAAAGAATAGCTGATTAACAGGCTTCTGCAGAACTAGAAGAGGTAATTCAATCTCTGAATCAGATGCATTGGAGCAGGGAAACAAGTAAAGCATGGAGGGTAGTGGCCCTCCAGAACCAGGATTGGACACCCCTAATTGAGATTTTTTCAACAGTTTTCTTAACTGATCACTGCTAAAGACATTTATTTTATTTATTAACAAAAGCATTAACTCTTTTTTTCAAATTCTTTTCAGTACATTTCCTAATTTGCCTTTTATATTGTATCTTCCTTCCTGTGGCACAGGTGAAGCTCGTGGAAGTCTTACTAGGGATGAGCACATCAGCCAGGTGGCTCAGGACATTCAGAACAAGCTTCCTGAGTTATTTGACGTGGATGTGATTCGTAAGGCGTTTGGCACAGACATATCTCCAACCTCGGTGGTTCTTCTTCAAGAACTGGAGCGCTTTAACAAACTAGTGGTTTGCATGCAGCAGTCTTTGGCTGAGCTGCAGAGGGTGAGTACAATGCAAGATACTGAGGGGACTGAATGCTCATGTGTTTTTTACTCGACTTCAGTTTAGATTTTCTCTTGTTGTCTTGTTTCCCACAGGCCTTAGCTGGTGAGGTAGGTATGAGCAGTGAGCTCGATGAAGTGGCTCAAGCCCTTTTCGATGGCCACATCCCTGCCATTTGGAAGAAATTGGCTCCTGAGACTCTGAAGTCTCTTGGGAACTGGATGATCCATTTCAAGAGGCGCTATGAACAGTACAGCTACTGGGTAAAAATGGGCGCAAGCCACCATATAAAATATCTTAAAGTTTACATTTGTTAATTTTGGTATTATTTGTAGTTAACAAAATAAGTTTATATTTGTGTGTGTGTGTGTGTGTGTGTGTGTGTGTGTGTG